GTCTGTCAGATATCCCGGGAAACTGGTTTCTGGCTGCTGTATCTAAGGGTCGATATCATAATATAATAGACTCATACTTTGTTTGCTTGTCGTCATGTCTCCAAATGACTAGACCTACAATATTGTACTGTTGTGTTGTATGCGATAGACTCTCTGGTACAAAAAAGAAGATAGAGCCCTTAATCTTAGAACTTGTAAAATATTGAGACAATTGGTATAGCTACTAAATAAAGCCACATCTCAAAGAGCACTAATCTGCTGACATTTGGCCTGCATTGGTATTCTTGTCAATGTAGAAGGTAGAAGATGTTATGTTCAAGTAACATTGACCTTTACCTAGCTTACTTGTTTTTTCGAAAAGTTTATTGCGAATAACCCAATGTGGTCTATGTACACAAGCCATGTACCAACTGCAACTGCAAATCAAATTAATAAGTGGCCTTCAGGCACCGCGGACAACTGAAATTTGATTTAAACTTGCAGTTACGAATAATATTGATTTATAGCTGGAGCAACATCGATTGATAAACATTAATTAACACTAATTGCATGTAAAATCAAATCTTGGTGCAAGGGCAGAGACTGCACGCTAGCATATACGGTGTCCCAAATCTACTAAATGCGATTAAAATTTGTAGGACTGCTCAGAAGAAATATCCATTCTTAGGTCTTTTGAAAAGCCAAGCGAGACTAAAATTTCACGTGGTGGTAATAGCAGTACTAATAGAAAAATACCATGGTTCAAATATAAAAATACTGACGACAGAAATCAAACAAGCGAATATGGATCTTTTGGAATGACGAATATTGTGACGTGTGAGAGATCAAGATGACATTGCCACCTATGAGTAGTTTTTCTAATTGCGGTACCACCAACGTACAGGTATGTTATACCGTACTTACAGTTGCTAAAAAACATGATATCACATTTCTAACTTTTTTTACTACTATTTTTCAAGGTGTTACATATCTGTAGCATCTGTCACCAATAGTGACAATGGATCAATCTGCCATGATGTAGGGTAATTACGGAGGCAAAAGCATTACCCTTCTTATTAGCAGTTCCAAAAATGCGCTCGCTTTCCCAAAGTTAGTCAAAAAGTAACTTTTTTTTGACTTTTTCAAAATCAATAAGAAGGAAAAAAATGTGTTTTCAAATATCGCAGCAATATCATATAAGAGGCATTCATGTTATTCGGAAATATCGTTTCAGCCGCTGAGTGACCACTGGTTATTGAGATATCAGTGGTTGATAACATAACGATCCTTTTTCATTCAAAGCCAGATATCTCCGCTCCAAATGATCATATTAAGATTTTAAACAGGATATTGAAGCTCAATAGATGGGTTATCTGGTCCATACTATGGCCTAGCACGAAAAAAAAATTTCAAGCCCGTGAAAATCAAAAACTTTGAAAAAAGTTTTCCTTGCGCTATCTGTTAGAATTGCAACAGTTGCTCTTAAAAGTTTTCGACCAAAAACCTGTAAACTAAGCTAAACGGAGATTTCTAAATGTTTTACAAAGTCTATATATGACCATTTGCGTTGCTATGCTATCGTCCGTTGAGTTTTTTGGCCGTCGACTGTGGCAAAATATGCACAAGCTCACTGAGGGAAAGGGGAAGTAAGGAGAAGAGTAACCAAACTTTTCCGCTGGATTCCATGACACATAATCGAATGACAGCTCACACACTGAAGCAAAGCGGGGAGATGTTAAGTATGAAGTCTTGCGTGTGCAAACGACAAATGTCGCCGCGGTTCCCTCCCCCCGCTTTGTCTTAGTGGACATGCAATTTTTGACTTTTTTATATCCTCCTGTATTTGTGAAAAGTGCCCCACCATTTCATTCTTTGACTTCCTTTGCCCGCAGAAAAGCTAACTGCTCCCAAGGGGAAACGGTGACTCTACCAAATGGGAGTGTTGTAGGATGAAAAACAAATTAGCCAATTTATTTGCCATAAAAGGGAGTTCCGGTTATTTGGACGTCGCCGGAAACGGTAAAGAAAAAGCGAAAAGCAGGCATGAGGGGATAATAATTGATGCTGGGGTAGTGTGAGTGGAATATTAATAGTCCAGTGTATGATGAATGCGCTTGTGCTGCGGCGATTCATGCTGGATTTGTTGTCGTATTTAACAATTAACATACTTGACGACACGAGCATGTCGAAAAGAATGTTAGGCTAAGTGGACGCTTTAGTGGCCCAAAAACGTATTATAAGCATGGTTGGGTTTATAATCTCGACTGACCCATTGCTGTCTCTTTTACTTCCCAAAAACAATTAGCGAGGAAGCATTGGCAAAAATTTCAAAAACAAGATATGTTTTTTGAATGTTTACATGTACATGACAAAAAGCCATGCCGCTCATTCCCGTCTGTCGGTTTGTTAGCTAATCCTTAACCCCTTTACAACTCTGAGAGTACCGCTTGTATTTTGATGGGATTTTGCTACTACACTATCGCAAAAAACTGAAAAGCTTCGTAGTTTTTGTAAATCGGCTTAGTCGTGACGCAAAAAATTCTAAAAATGAATTAACTGCTAAAACTTGTTTCTTCACGACTCAGATGATCCTAGTCAATTTTGAAAACATGTTTCAGGGGAAGATTTGGGTGGGGGAGGGTGTATCGCAATTTTGTACTAATACACTACCAACCATGGTAAGTCTACGCGCATAATAGACATATTCCACGCATCATAGATTTCCTTTAATATTTGCCCTTAAAATAAATATTTTTTTAGACGGCGGGTCGCGTACATATCAGTCGCGACAAAGAATTGTGAATACTGCATATTTGGCAGTGTATCCGGGGAACATGAAAGCAAGTAGCGGACCGCTCGGTGACGCGTATTCACATACTAGGTGGGCGCGATATTATCTATAACACTTAAGCATCATTCTTGTACTGTATTTTAATGAAGTTACTTGATTTTGAGAGGTAATATACAGTATAGTATATACAGTTCCAAATAAATGAGGCTACCATGTACGGCACTAATATTTCTGACAGGGCCTGAGTTTTTTTGGTGTCATTGCGCTACACGAAAAATTATACTAGAAGTTGTTTCGAAGGCGTGGAAAGTATAGAGTTAATCTACTTGACGCAATTTCTTTTATTAATTGCAAGATCGGAAATAAAATACAATAAAAATAATCCAGTAGGTTGAACATCAGTTTTAATTTGATTTATCCCAGGTGCGTAACGCAACAGATGCTAGTAGAAAATTAAGTTGTCGCGAGCTGGCCGCTACCGCTGGCAAGGTTTCCTCATGGAGAAGACCGCGACTGTGATCACAACGTCGTAGGATGGTCAATTAAATCATTACGTTCCTACATTTCGGTTTAAACCTAGACCCTTCCCACTGCTTTCAGCGGAACCATAGTCAAGGCAACCCACCAATCGCCGTCATCCAAAAATCAGCGGGAAAAGGCGCTAACCTTCCTTTCCCTTCTTGTTGGAGAACTCCAAAATCAAGATAATAAGCAACCAAATAAACAATAAAAGAAAAACCTCACAAAGTCAAACTGAAACATAATTTAAAGAAAAACCTAACCTATTGCCATAAAAATTAAAATTAAGCATAATAAAAGAAAAACCTAACTTAATGACACAAAATCAAACTAGAATATAATTGAAAGAAAAACCTAACCTAGTCCCACAAAGTCAAACTTAAAGATAATAAACGAAATACCTAACCTTATAACACAAACTTAAACTTAAGCATAATTTAAAAAAACCTAACCTGTTCCCGCAAAATTAAACGCAAACATAATTGAAAGAAAAACCTAACCTACTCCTATTCCCTCAAAATCAAACTCAAACATAACTTAAAGAATTCCCACAAAATGAAACCTGAACATCATTTACCGAAAAACCTGGTTTAATCCAACAGAATCAAACTTACATTATTTGAAAACCTAACCGAATGGTAAAGAAATCCGGCCACAATTATAAACCACTGAAACTTCAATCCTCACTCATGCCTCACCACCCTTTGGACCCATTCATTCACTAACTCAACTGACCTGTCATTCATCTTCCCTTCCATTCTCGACTACAGTCTGAGGTCACTTCAGACACGCCTCACTAGCTTCTCCTCTTTCACTCCTTACACTCCTCCTAATCCTTTCCTTTCTTTGTTTTAATGTTCTTCTTACAGCCTTCTTGTAAGTGCTTTTGGAACCTAGTTGCTTCGTCATTCACCCCCAGGTCATTTTCCCACTCATGATATTCCTCCGTTGCCCTTTTAAATCAATCCCAATCAGTCCTATCAGAATCATACACCGTTTTTATCCCCTGTCCCTGTTCACTCTCCCATTCATACGTAATGTACCTGTGGTCGCCTAAGCTTTCTTATTTCTCTCTCACCTTCCATTTAGGTGCATTCAGTCCCCTGGCTAATGTCCCATCCGCCCAACTCTCACCTCTTCTGCCACTTCCCTTTCACTCCACAAATCCAGCCCATCTGCAACACACCATTCCAGCAAACGCTCTCCTCTTTCATCCGTCCACTCCCGCTCCCCCCATGCACTGTTTTATGCATTTAAATCCCCCACTACCAGAAGTTTGCCCTCTATTTGTCTAACTTGTATGCACTCCTCGAGCCGCGTGTTCGATCTTCCACTGGGCTCACCATATTTGTTAAATATCATGACTCCATTAAACACAATTACCACGCAATTATTCATTCCAAGCTGACGGAGCTCGATTAGCTTCCCTTGGCTTTTCTTAACCCACGTCCTCACTGTACATCTCTTGTCTCAAAACTTTCTTCACCCCTTCGATTGGTCCTCATTAACCGTAGTCAACTCTTGTTCTTAGAAGCATCCCTCTCTTTTTTGGCACCGGGCAATTTATGTCCCGGGCCGTGTGTTGCCGGTCTTCCACCCTGATTCCCATCCTTTCTCAATTTATGCAATTCACTCTCTCAATCTTACAGCTTCCACCCTTATGTCCTTTCGCACGACAAACATAACAACCATTCCCATCCTCCTTATATACCAACGCGGTACGTCCCAGTCTACAACATTTGTAATACATGAGCACATCCATATATTCCTCCACATACAACTGTTCCAGGTCAAAGTTCACTCTTCCAGTTTTCGCCATTTTTTTAAATACCGCCGGCGGCGCTTCCAGGATCCAATTTTCTTTCCATGGGTTCCTGCACGACATCCTTCTTACTATCTTAATGCATTTCAGGTCCTCTTCCGCAAATTCTTAGAGCAGCTCCTTGCTTTCTTCCTTGAGTTCCGAGACTGAAGTTTCTTCCTCGTACTCCTTTGTAACTTTAGCTCCTCAGCATTACGGAGTGTCTCCGCTATATGTTTTAGTTGTTCTTTGTCTCTACCCTCAATTATAACTACCCCCCTACCGCCTTGCGCGCCCTCTTTGCGGTTTCTACCTTTCCCACCAGGTGACGTTCAACCTTTTTCATCACTTTCCACGTGACCTCTTCATTTTCTTCCACCCCTCTCGCGCACGCCTATTCTTCTCCTCATTCATTCCGCTCCTCGAAGGCAAGGGTGGAAACGCAGGCCCTCTCGCCACCGCGTTGTTATGAGTGCATAGGCGCCCTCCCGCCTCCGCCTCTGCCTCAGTGCTTCTCTCTTCCAACCTCTCATACAATCTAACTTTTTATACATACACTACATCGTGTCCATCATCCGGGCCTCTGACGTTCTCCATCTTTTCCAGACTGTCAAATATTCGCTCACAAAATTCACGCATTCGTTCGCGGTCCGTTATTTTGTCATCGACAGTGAAGCTGAGCTTCTTCCCTGCCGCAACCCTAATCGTAGCCTCCGTCTCCTTATTGGACATATTCGTAACATTTTTTATTGTTCTTTCTAGTTTTATGAATCCTTCCTCTTCCCGTTCTTATCGCCTTCCCATTTTCCAGGACACCCCCTCTTGCTCCAATCTCCTTCTCCAATCTCCCCCTCTTTGTAGTATGTTTTACTTTTTCGTCCAGTTCTCTGTCTTAACTTTATCTCTCTTCTAGTTCCCTCATAGTCTTCTTAAGGTCCTCCAGGGACTTGAGTTATCCCCGCACAGGATCCCTTCCTCTTCTTCTGCTCGTCCTGACCGTGGGGTGGAGTCCTCTATAGCGATTGCCTTCGGGGTATCTCTCTCCTCAACAGCGCCTCTTTCCATCTCGTCTAATTGTCTTCCAAAATTTTTCATTTTTATTCCGATATTTCGGACTTAGAAAATTCTACTTGTACTTCCTCTCTACATGCTTCTGGTCACCTGGTACCTCTTGGGTATATTTATGGCTGTAACCGCCGACTTGATTCAAATTTGGAGGGTGGCGTTTTACCAAAAGGGCACTACCACTTTTGGACCTAACTGACCTTTTTGGTACTATTTTCACTAAAAACCGTAGACGGTATTACACACCGGGGGTAGAGCGCTGGGACCTGTCTCTTTTCTCGATGTTAAAGCCACACACTGTTTGCAAAACTAACCTTACTTTTGTTCGCGCGAGATTTTTACTTTTTATCCTTGACACCGCAATGCCCGAAAACCAAGTGGTCAATGGGGCAGAGGAGAGACTGGTCCCGTTCATCACAACGAAGCGCTACTGTAGCGATACCTCATTTTCTGCAGAACGCAGAGAGCTACCAACGCGGTCGCCATTTTTCCCATAATAACCAAATATGGTCCGCTCTTAATCAAGTTATACATCAAATTCTGTTTTATGAGGTTCAATGTTTTGTGTTTGCTTTGATCGGTTGAAAAACAGTGTCGATCTCTTGGTAAAATGGAGGCAATATGCAAAATTATAATAGATAACTTCAAAAGTGATGAACCAACAGGGAAAATGAAACGAAAGAACCAAGTTATAACATACTAGTATAAAACAATGCCTATTCAGTGACTGCATCACCAGATGCTAATTTCATGCTACAAAATTGTAAACTTTCATTTCAGTCTCTACCTGTAGCATTTTTAATCGTTTTTTCATTTCAAATCCGAAAGCTTGACAACTGACAAGCCCAGTAGCTTGTATCAAAGTACCGATTGGTGGTTAGATCCCTTTTGGAAAGCGCTCAAAGTGAGCAATGCAGTAGCAAGCCGTTGTAATTATCACAACGTTGTCAAATGGGTAGGGACTAATTGTAGTTGACAGACTTGATCTGTTTAATTCCTTTGCTACAGATATTAAAGATTAACTTTTCTCTAAGATGATCTAACTTGTACATAAGATCATGGTATTGGATAAACTGACTATAGCGTTAAGTGGGAAGTGCAGAGTCAACGAACATGACATTTTTCATCATGTAATACCGATTCTTTTGTAATAGAAATCGTGTCTTGGGGACGAAGCTGAGGTATAAATTCAGTTCGCCTTGAGCCATCGATAAATTCCAACCAAATTTGACATCGGATTCTAAATCTGCGCTGCCTATTTGTGAAGGAAACGAGTTGCTATCCTGTTCACAGACGCGCAAGGAGTTGTCCAAAACTAAGTAAGTAGTGCACGAAGAGGTGGATGCTGCCATTAAGTGCACGATATCTGATAGATACGACCTAAGGTCGGAGATGCAGCAAGGTACCAGCGCCTGATGCAGAAACAGAAAGACAGTCCGACCTAGGAACGAAAAAATGTCTTCCAATATCATAGACAATATGCCGGTTGGAGAAAATACAAAAATGTCCATTGTGCGATAAGCACTGGCATACTATATAAAAACTGCAAACATACGAGGTAAATTTGATCCAGGTGGTGGATAGTTGAGTCTTAGGGTTGGCCTTTTTGTCAGTGGACTTATCACGATCCTCTATAGCGACTCACAGGTCTATTGTGGCTCACGTCCTTTTATATCTCTTCCAGTAGCTTCGACCACCTACGATTATTTAGACTGAAAATTTAAGAGCATCCACAAAACATACGTATGGTTCCTCCATGCACGGTCTACATTCAGCGTCTTCTGCCAAGCCCAGCCTGCCTATGTGGGTGTTGCAATCTGTAATGACCGGTGTATAGCCTCACTGAAGCCTTGGAGGTTTCTTGATAGTCGCTGCAACCTGTTACTTCTTGAGTTAAAATTGGCATGGCTGTCTTAGCATGGGTTAATCCTGTTAATCCCTTCCAGTGATGATGGATCTATGTGAAGGTTGCATAAGTATAAGCTGAAATAATTCCAGCTAGTGGACACGTAGTATTCGGTATTCCGTCTGATTGACAGATACTCTGTGGCATCGAATGACATCCTCTCTCAGAGCAGACCGTTAGTTTTCCCAGAATTTGTCGGGACCTTTCTGCATGCCTGGATTTACCGATGCGATGGGCATTGACGCGATAGGTGAGAGCAAACTACTTCTCACACAGTTTATAGGAAAATGGTTGAACAGTGTATATAATGAACTGGACGTTAAACCATATGCAAGTGGACTGAACCACCACAGGTCGTAAAGTTTACAGCCTTCTGACAAACACTTTAGTCTGAGAATGAGAGAAGCGCCATAAACTGGGATAGAGATTCGAAGCATCAAGTAAACTCTACATGCTCAAGGGACTTTTTTTGGTAGAGTAGTAGAATAGCTCACCAAATAATATAGAGAAAACCATTTTTTGATCTGTGATTGGGTTTCGAGGGAATAGACCTACGTTTTCTGCTCTCTAACGCTTAAATTCTCAATTTTCTTCTGGTCATGATTCCAATAGCTACTCCTACAATGCCTATTTAGATTCTTGATAACATAATGACTTCATTATAGATCATTTTAGTATCTTCCAATATCTCATTAACACTTTGATAATGAAACTATCTCAATTTCTTGATCTTATACAACGTATCTAATTTATATGTCCAGTTTTTCTTCTATACTCGATGAGCTAATCTTTGAATTGAAGTTTGGCTTTTCAATTAATCATAACGAAATCAGTTCAATTTCATCCTTGATAGACACACATTTGTCTGACAGGGTAACTTAGCTATATAATCCAGTGTTTTCTTTTCTAAAGTAATCCTTTCATCTTGACAGCTAATAAACAGATAATCTTTAACTCTCGATAATCAGTTGTTTCATTCTGTAGCCTTGTAGATCAAGTCCACTTAACCCCGGTCTGCTAAACGTGATAAGGTCATAGCTTTTGAAGATTCTTCTGATCGGCTTTCAAATATCAAATATATAACTAAAGTGTAAAATCGTCCAAGTTAGTAATTGACCTCAATGCGCGCCGGTGTTAAGAAGCCTTCTCAACGCGTAAGATAGTAAATAGGTAAGTTGCCTTACACCTTTTTCTCAAATCGCCACCACTTGATAAATTGACATTCGTTTTACTAACGGCTTCCGTTACTCAGCTCCAACCACACCAAATTCTATAATAACATAAACCTTAAGTCATTGTCGGAAGGTCCGCTCGAATTGCGGCTTATCTTAGTGATACTGCGACTGACATCGCAACTAGAGAATTTGATGTATTTTACACTAACTATAGTTAAGTACATTTCACTAATTGAAGCAAAAACGTCCAATCCGATACACAGTTGAATCTTCAGGTACTTAGTTTGTATTATGGTATATCGAAGATCAACATAGGTAAACACAAATCATTCATATCAAAGACCTTAAGGTGCGCAAGGTACCGGGAAGGGATCAAATCACCAAGAAGGCAATGAAACTTTTGTCGCCGACGGCTTTGACATATCTCCTAACGATAGTTAATGCGATGCTTGATGATTCCGAAAAAGGCGGGATCAATTTTTCCACAGGACTGGCGCTCCATAAGTCCATTGGCCGCAAAGGTTATTCATAGTCATCTAGAGAATTACTGTTTTGATCCAGAAGCAATTCCCAGCGTACGATTCGGATTTCGCACCGAGCATATACCGGAGCAACAAACAATGAGACCTGTGGATACGATAACCTATGGATTCACTAAAAATCAAAGTACTGGAGCTCTTTTTTTTGATATTTCAAAGGCTTTCGGTAAGGTGTGGCAAAATTGCTTAAATCCATCTGGAAAGGAAGACAGTTCACCATCCTGTCAGGGCAGGCGCCTCCCAGGGCTGCGTACTTTGGCCTATTCTTCATTCTTTACGAGGGTGGTCCCAGAAGTATCCGACCCAATGAGGAAACACAAAATTTTTGTAAAA